CTCAGCAGGGTGTTCTGCTCCACAAGGCTGGCGTGCTCCTGCCCGCTGTAGGTGACGAGGACCTGGAAACGGCACAAGGGGCGGTTTGTCAGTGCCACCCGCCGCTCCCGGGGATGTCCTGCTGCAGCACACACAAGCCTTTGCTTGCCGCAGGATCCCCTCTCCTCCTCCCGCAGCGGAGGGGGGCACAGAAGGGCTTGAGGACAAAGGCAGAGCCTGTCCTGAAGGGCTTGGACTTCAAACTGCTGTCACAGCAAACTCAAGGGGTGGCCAGGGTTCATCCCACCCCACCACCAAGGGACGTGCTCTTCCCAGGCACAAGCTTGACTCTGGCAATCCCAAATTGAGGGACTTCCTCAGCCGGTATCGGCCACCTCCCTGAGTGTCATGACTTTGGGCGGACTTTTCTCCAACGAATTTGTCTGCTTTGGCTTTGTTCTCACGCCACCCTGCTGCAAGGACTGCCATAATTATTACACACCCTGGCAAAATACGTAGATAAAAAGATTAAAATCCGGAGCGGGCCAGGGGAACAGATGTTTCCTGGCCGAAGTGATCCTGAGCTCGCACCTTGGCTCCTGCAGTCCCAGCTCCTTCAGACAGGGGAAGGAGATGTGCAGACCTCACCTCCTCCTTCACTGCGTCCCAACTCCTTCTGATGGGCAGCTTTCCACCACTACCACCATGAGCCTATTTCTGTTAATGGAAATGTATCTGTGTCAAAAGACTCTACGTGTGTCTCTGGCTATTTATAGGAACAGGAACATCTCTTTATGGAAGGGCCACGGGTGTCACACCAAGAAGCCGATATGGGATGGGCACGTGCACCCACACCCTGACCGGGGAGGAACCTGCGAGACCCTCTCAGGTGGGACCTTGGGCAGAAACACCGCAGTGAAAAAAGCCACCCACGGGAATACCAGGGTTAATGGGATCTGCGCAAGGATCAGGACACAGGAGACCCTGACCCTGCTCTCTGAAAACACGGAGCAAGGCCTCTCCATCAAACACACCGGCCGTCCCCTGAACCGCCCACGGCACAAGGAGCTGACATCTCCTTCAGCTTTGCACAGCCGCCGGCACAGGTCCCAGCAGTCGCTATTGTTATGCTGTTCCCAGCAGCAAAGCAAGCAAAATCCTCCACAGCAGAGCATGTAGGAGAAAACAACTCTCGCTGTCCTGTGGTTAACAAACATGGGGCAGGAGGAGCCAGAAAACTGAACAGGGGCCTTATTTACACTCCATTTCACAAGCTCTGCCCAGAAAAGGGTTTACAGTTCTGCAGGTAGCAGCCAAGAAACGGGCTCTACGTCAGCAGCTCACGGCTCCCCTCGGACAGTGTTCCTTGGCCAGGCATTAACAGGAACCATTTCACAGGGACTGAGAACGAGCGCTGTGCCCTGTCCCAGGCAGCATCCCAGCCAAGGCACGGCCCTCCTAAGCATCAGGAGCCCGGGGCACAAGAAACAGCAGGGTCCGGCAGGTCTAGATGTCCTTTCTGGACGAACCATCGCACCTCATTGTTCTCTAAGAGATTCTTCACCACCTATGTCCACACCACCGACCCTCAACCCCGCAGCAAAAAGCTGCTGCAGGCTGAGCTCTGAAGCCTGAGCCACGAGGCTCATGGCCGCCGTGACTAAGCTGTGGGGCTCCTTGCCACTTGCCTTCAGATGTTAACGTGGGTTATGCGGAGACAGGACAAGTTCATGGAAGACAAGTCCACCGGGAGTCACTACATGTACAGAAACCACCTCCCTTAGCCTCAAACCATTGGAGAACACTGGAGGGAAGCGTCAGGTCTTCTTACCCTCTTCTCTGGAGACTCGCTTTTGGCTAGGACCAGAGACGTCTCCGGGAGGAGGTGGATCTCTGCTTGAGCTGCTGTGGTCCAAATCCATCAGGCACGGCCAGGGCCAAGTGCACTAATGCCAACACCCATCAGTGACCCTCGGTAATTACAGCTCCCCACTGCACCTTACATTAGGAGAGCCCCAAGAGTTCTGTCCCCCACCAGAGCGCATCCCACCAGCTAAGGACACCAAGAGCCTCCTTACGTACTTGCTGCCCGGCACAGAGCTGCTGGCAGCCGGGGCTGGGGAACCTGAGTGCCTGGCTGCTCTCCTCCATCGATGGTGTGCAGGATCCGTCCTCTTGCGGTGCTGCGTGGGTGGACGCCCGGCTGAGGTCGGTCTGCAAGCTGGGGATCTGGGTGGCCACCAGCATCCCGTCGGCCAAGGCGCCGGGGGCAGAGACGCGGGTGCCTAGCAGGGAGCGCTTCCCCAGGCGCCTCGACAGCACGCTCGCCATCTCGGACACGCTGCAGAAGAGAAAGACAGGGGGACGTTACCTTCGGTGCAGGACAGCAACGTTCAACTGGTGTCTTCCCCCAGCTGCCACCCTGGGAGCTGAGAAAGCAGCTCTCTGCTGCTCCAGCTCCCCCATATGCCAAGACCCCTTGGGGATGTAGCGACAGAGGTGTGCCTGCGCTCCCCCCACCCTGCAGCTCTTGTCTTCATGGTCATTTCTAAATCTCTCTGGAAAAAGAAGGGATGAGCCAACCCAAAGGAAACCCCGTGGACGCAGTCGGGACAGCCTTTGGAGCCCACGTGCCCCTCTCGAGCTGCCACTGGCGCGCAATCCTGAGGCCACCGAGGCAATTCCTGCCTGACACTGCGGTGCCCCTCTCGAGCTGCCACTGGCGCGCAATCCTGAGGCCACCGCGGCTATTCCTGCCTGACATGCTGAAACCCGCCGTCTGCGCGCCTCAACCTTGACCTCTAGACTTGGGCCCCATGCCCAGCACAGTCCTGCAGCTCCCCTGCCCGCGCCCCGGCAGGGGAGGAAAGCTCTCCAGCAGCAAAAGCCAGCACCCCTTCTCAGCCTGCACCCCATTGCTCCCCTTTTCAGGAGCTATTCTGGTTTTGGGACGAGGTTTCTCCAACCTTGCAGCTCATGCCCAGCACTCGCAGGGTTGGTCTGGCAACAAAACAGGAGCATCCTCCTGCCCTGCTTTGTTAGAAAATGAGGAATTTGAAGCATTTTTGTCCTAAACTGTTTATCTGTAACTATCTTTAACGTATTTTTGCCCCCAAAATTGCTTCTTTTTCTTCTGACATAGGTTTTCCTCATGTTGGTGTGGCTCTGCTAGCAAGTCTATCCCAAAGGCAGCCTCGCCTGGCTCATATGTTTGTGTTTGTAGATTTTACTGCTGTTTTAAAAGAAAAAAGTGTTTACTTAAAAGCAAGGGACATACTTCAAAGCAAGGGACACCCAGGCATGGGGACAGACAACGCACCCAGCCCTGATAAATCCGACAGCTCCAGCAACACTCGCCGTCCTCCTCCCAAAGTCTCCTCTGCTGCAGCACCCCCTCCGAGGAGCGTGGGAAGCGAGGGTGCAAACTGCGGCAAGGCCGAAGGGTGATGGTGCCCGGGGTTCAGGAGGAGGGAGAGGAGGCAAGAGGCTTGGTGCAGCCCCGTGTCTCAGGGTGCACTGAAAAAGCCACGTGCTTTCACACTGCCAACAAAGCTGTCACCTTTGCCACCCTGCCTGGGCTTGCCAGCGAGTGTCACCCGGCCGGCCAGGGGCTGCGGGTGTTTGTCGGGTGTCTGGGTTGGAGCACAACCTGGGCCACTGAGAGTCCAAGCCTGAGGAGCTGACACTTACGCAAGAGGGAGGATTAACCCTGAGCCGGCGGGCGCTTGTGCCCAGACCCTGCCCTCCTCATACAGGGTCGCTGCAAGAGATGCTCGGTTCCCTGTCATGAAGCGGTGGCATTTTAATGGCAAATCAAATATACTTTTTTCTGACATCTGATTTACACAACGCTGTCTAGCACGTTATCCCAAATGAGAAAAACTTTCCCAAGGAACGTAACGGGAGCTCGCCGATCCTCTCGACCTCTGACCGTCCCGGGAAGGGTTACTCCAAACCATGTCCCGTTTCAAAGGACGTCCAAGATTTACAAGCGGTTTTATGAATAACCGTATGCACTCAGCTCGCTTCTTCCCCCCCTGAAATCGCGCCATCCCCAAGTAGAAAATTAACAGCTATTTGGAGCCATAAAGAATAGAGCAGGAAAAGCAGGACAGGGTGCGAAACAGATAGAGGTGTGCCAGGGAGAGCACCTCGTGCCAATGCTGCCTGTCCCGCAGCGCACGGGGACTTCGCCACCGTCGCCGCCTTCCCTCCGGAGCAGGATCAAAGAGGCCGCGGCGGCTGGCTGAGCAGAGCCGCTCCCCCGGCTTCCCTCTCATCTAGCCCTGCCCGAGGAATACGCCAGATTTTGCAGCGTATGGGCATCACTGGGGGATGCTCCGGAGCCCGCTCTGTCATGTCTTTTTCCCCACAGTGCAACATGTTTTCTGCTGAACACAAGTGACCTGGCCAAGCGGCTCTGCTCCCAGATCTCCCATACGCAACTTCCCCATCCAAAAGGAGACCGAAAGGGCTGAGGGGGGATGACACAGCGGTTTGCCTCCAACCCCACAGCGAAGCTGTCACAAAGCCCCTCCACAGGCATTAACCACCAAACCGCGTTTCCTCCTGCTGCACCCTAAAACCTCGCTCTCGGATATCCCGGGCGCCGGGGTTTGGGAACTGCTCCTCCGAGGGCTCAGGGAGCCGATGCGGCAACGTTGGTGCCACCACCCCGCAGAAAACGATGCCGAATCTCCGTCGACTCCTCGACAGTCGGCACACACCAGTTTTAAGGCAGTGCTTGGCCGGTGGCCAGGTGCGGGGAGGGCAGCACCAAAGGTGGGAGGCTGCTTCTCATTTCCTTCGGGGTTTCGTTTCGCCTTCCCTTTCCTTCCCCCTCCGATCCGGGCAGGGGGAGAAGGAAGGAGGAGAAAGGCCCGCTTGCAACAGGGGGTGGAAGGAAAACCCTCCCGAAAAGCCAGCGTTCAGAGCCACATCTGCTTCCAGTGGATCTCTGAACACCAGATCCCATTTCAGCACTCAGCCCATAGCCGAGGGTGACACGCCAACGCCAAAAAATCCTTCCTTCCCCCATGCCCCAAAACACAAAGCAAGAAGAGCAAGAGCTGGGAGGGCGTCAGCGGTGCAGGCGGAGCCGGGAGGCCACGCTACCGCTGCGAGCCCTCCCAGCTGTTAGCAATCACGCGCCGCAGGGGTCAGAGCCGGCACAGATCCCAAATTATTTCTTGCTTCAATGCCGGGTGTGTATTTTTGACGGCGTTTTTCCAGCTCTCGCCGGGGAAAAACGTCAGCCCTTGTGCCTACCGGCGTTGTCGCTGCTGTCAGCGGAGCGAAGCCTGGGTGGAGGTTTGGGAAAGCAGGCGCCTCGGCTGGCAAGCGGGGAAGGTTGGGGGGCCGTGGCAAAGGGGAGGGGGTGCCCCGGTGCTCACCCCGGCTGCTGTTTGTCCAGGGTTTGCCGGGAGGGCAGCTCCTGTGCCCACGGTGCTGTGCAAGCCAGAACCACTGACACTAATTCCCTCCCCAGAGAATGTGCCATTACAGACACCCCGTTTTTTCAGGAATAAATGCTGGCTGGTTCCCTCAAATCCAGCCTAACCACAGCCACAGACCACCACGCCACAATCAGCAATCCGGACCACAAAGTCTACCCTACAAGAGACCTTAAACACTGCAATAACTGATAATCAACCCCAGTTTTTCACCTTTTGTCCCAGGCTGTGGTTTCCAAAAAGCCCCTTCTCATCGCAAAACGTCCCGAAGCCCTTAACAAACCGCACTCCAGCCCCGCGCCTGCCGGCACACGTGACCGGGAAACAAGCTATCCGCACAGAGCGGTTTGCAAAGTTTGGGCCTTTATTAAAAAAAAAAGAAAGAAAAAAAAAAGCAGCATCGACAAGGACCTATCCACCCCGAGTTGGGACCAAACCCACCCACAACCTAACCCCCACAGGTTAACCCTCATAGGCGCCCCCACCCCGCCTCGGCCCTTGCCGCTGGGGTGTTATGGCGGGACTGCACCGGCTCCCCGACCCTCACCCACCGCCAGCGCTCGCCGCTGCCCGGTGATCCCGGAGGAAAACGCCTTCGGCGG